ATGCATATTTAAAACCGGTCCAACTTGTTTGTATGTAGATGTTTCTCTTTAGAAAACTTCCCGAACCGTTCCACGCGATGTGAGATCTTTATTGAGCATATTATTTTGTATCGAATGATAAACGACATGGATTATTAATAATATATTAGGTATGTACTTAAAAATTTATTTTTGGTCAATGGAGTTTTCGACTCTCGGATCGGACACGTTGTAACGAATCGAAATAAGTTTGATAAATTGTATTCATGATTCAAAAAAATTATCAAATTTTAATCGTGCATTTACTAAAATCTGTGTTTAATCATATTAATAAGTCTAGAGTGAATAAGTCCGGTCAAAGTACAAAGTGAACATTTAAATTCGACTTATAGAAATAATAACGTTGTGTATTTGTCATATCAACATCTATAATAACATTTCTTTATCAAAACGTAAATATTAGACATAGTAAACCAAATTGAATATCTAAAATACATTATTATCATTATTATAGTATAACACACATCAATTATGATTATATTTTTAAATCGTCCATGAATTTGGTTGACTTTAAATCGATTTGAAAATAAATAATATTTGAACACAGAACAAATCGGATTGGTTTTTATCGACGTTATCTATGCGTTCGTGATGCAATTTCGCGTTACCGAATCATCTGCGCCTCACACCGCTCTTATGACCATGGCGTACGAATCAATTTACATTGTATTCGTGTCTTCGTTTTCGGTATAGTGTACACGCGTATACAGATTCGACGTTGCATGTAGGTCGTCGCCACCGAATGTGACGTCACGTGTGGCGGCCGCTTCGCAGAACGGAATATTTCAAGAGTGTAAATTTTTGGACACCGAAAAAAAAACGCATAAGGAAAATGATCGATTTCTAGTTTTTGCGATTTATTAACTGGATTTTGAAGAGGAACTCCATTTTGGAACGTTCCTTGAAATGTCTGGAGTCACGAATGTTTGAACGCCCTGTATCTATCTACCCTTGCCGTGTTTTCAGCTGTACCTCCATCATTCAGCCTTCAGAGACGCTAACCGCTGGCGCTTTCTGTCTGCGTTGCATATTTGAACACGCCTTTCAACATTTTCAAGACTGGGGGAGCGCGTTAAGCCACAGAATGCTCGTTGGATCTTATGCTGTTTATTTAACCTAGTTAATCGTGCCTTTTTTGGAACTTTTAATAGGCAAACGAACACGTTAAGTATTTGAAACATATTCCAATTTCATTGTCATACGGCTGTCCTAAAAGATTAGGTTAGAACCAATTTACGTGGCGTGCCGGTTTGAACGCAAATAAGTAGGTACCAGCCTCCTACTTTTTGCCGTGAAGCCCACTACTAATACGAATAAGCATCTGTTATTATAGCAAATACAATGTATAAATACTGTTCTTTAACAATCAATTGACCAGCTATATAATGCACCTCTCTTAATCAATTTCTTTCAGGTTTGAGTCTTGACGCTATGCTCAGTTTTTACGCTTTTTTTTTTGAGCTTGGCCTGTATCTGCCTATCTATCGGATGAAACTGACTTGTAACTTTGTCGTATCATCAAGGATCTACGAATACCTACTTAATTTTTTTGGCATCATTTTCCGAACCAGTATGACGAGATTAAAAAAATATAAAATTTTCGTTAGATTTTCCATTAAGTGTTTTTTTAATATTTAAACTACATGGTTTTTATTCTGAAATAACAAACGGTAGACTGGTGCTCAAAACCTTGTTGTTCGTAACTAATAATTTAAATGCATTGTTGCATTGTTGTCCTCGAAATTGTTGTTAGCGCGGTGCACGTTTTCTCTCAGATACCTTGTATTTACCGATAGATACTGATACAATGATTTAAGGTTGGTTCCTTTCTCAGCGGTATGAGCGGGTAGGGTGTAAAACTGGGCTTCTTTTATCTTTTTTTCCCTTCCCTATTCGCTGGTAGCCTTAGAGGCTATTTTAGCTACCTTATTTTACTACTACTACCACACTACAGCCCGGTCGGGTAGGTGAGTTTACGGGCTCAACCTGAGAGTATTTGCTAACACTAGCCCTAGCAAGAGCAGTGCTTCGCAGAATCTCTCACGGGATCGGAATCGCGACCCACTGAGAAGATTCGGCGAAAAACTCAGTGGGCTGTCTATAGGACAGGATAGTTAGGAAACCTTCCTCCGACAAGACTTCAAAGCCTTCTGGTAGTTACTTCACGCATGCATTTATGTTAGACCTCTAACTGCCGGAAACTTCACAGATCTTCCATCCTCTTCTGATGCATAAAAACTTGCTGTATGCTCCCGGGCAAAACCAGTCATTCGCCCACCAACGTAAAAATATCGCTGTCGATAATTTAATGCGTTCAGTTTCTTAAACACAAATGGACGCGATTAAAGGTTCAATGATTGGACCTTTATTACTTTCCCTTGACGCCGAGACACGTGTCGTGCTTACTGATACATTATCGAGTCGCGGTTAGCCCTCAAACGATTTGAAGCATTTCGTTACACACAGACACTCACACGCACTCAAACACACACGAATGTATATTTAATTATACTATTATGTTTCAATATAATGAAAGCACATTTATATCCTGCAGACAAGGAACTCTGTATTCATTCACCTTCAATCAATATTAGTGTGCCTGTGAAGCGATCGGAGGAACAGAAATGAAAACGAAAATCTTTGGGTTTTTTATAAAATATACGTTTGGACAGTACATTTAAAATGTCTTGATGCTTTGTGGTAAACGAAGATACCTAGAAATACACCCGGTCACCGTCCTCATCGAACCCGTCGCTTGCGATGAAGGGCTGACGAGCGAATTAACCCATAGACACAGCCCACTGAGTTTCTCGCCGGATCTTCTTAGTGGGTCGCGTTTCCGATCCGGTGGTAGATTCTGCGAAGTACTGCTCTTGCTGGGGTCAGTGTTAGCAACTCTCCGCTTTAAGCCCCGTGAGCTCACCTACTAGTTAAGGTCACGCTGAAATAGCCTCTCAAGGCTATCAATTTAGGTAGAAAAAAAAGAAATACAACTAAAGCTAAAAGTCGCAAATAGTTTTCGTGAGTTTTAGATCTCTATGAGAAATAAAATAAGAAAGGGAGTGAGAAATTTTAAATTAGTAAATTGTTCTGAATTCAGCATATAAATATTCGGAGAATATTTGTTTTTGTTAAAAATGGACTTTATTGGTCATATTTATCTTTTTCTAAGAGTTTTTCTCCAAAAAGAACCTTTAAAAATAATTGCAGAACAGTTTATTCAAAAGTCGTGTCTAATTAAATTGCCCCATCTGTATTTTCAAAGATCCTTACTGTTTACACACACTTTCGGCATTTCACGAATTTATTAGAATATGTACGATAATTGACTTGTGAGACGAGTTGTTTTTTTCCTTTTATTAATTATGGTCGTGTTCTGAGAAATTTATATATTTCCGTGATGTAAGTCATTAAAAAATATTAATAGAGTCGATATTTTGTAAAACTGGTTTGTGGATGCCTACAAAATAGTCTTTTTTTTTATTGCCCTTGTAGGCAGATGAGCATACGGCCAACCTGATGATGGAGTGGCTACCGTCGCCCATGGACTTCAGCAATGCCAGGGGCAGAGCCAATCCGCTGCCTACAACTGCCTTGCATTATTTATCAAATTCCTCCTATCATAAGCCCAAATAATTTAACATGTGCTCCCCACAGACGAAATCCACCGATTTGTGGCCGTGAAGATTTAATGATTTTCTATCTAAACGAAAATATATTTGTATTGCATTAGCCACTATCGAGACTGCCATTTCATGTTTGAAGGTTACACATAATGCAATACAACAATATATTATGTTTGTTTCTTTTGACCATGGCTCCGTGAGTTATATGTCCGGTTTATTGGTCCGTTTGTATAGATTCTGATGTTTTAATTTCAGGGAAGGTTTTTATTACTACCGATGAACACAAGGCGTGATAGGTTAATCAATAATTTTTTTGTTTTTTTTTTTGTTTCACTGCCTCTTCATGCACATAAATATTCTACATTTGCGAAATTCATGCTTAAGGCAGCGGACGGGGAACTTTTAAAATTATTACCCCAAAATATTTTTGTGTAAGTTGATATTTACCCATGGCGAAGAACAAAAAAAAAAACGAAATCGCTTCTTTTTAGCATCTTTCATATTATAGCCCCCATGATGATTTGAAATCACAACGATTCTAAAGGAGTTTCAGTTCAATACATATTTTTTTCACACACACAAAAGTTTAATTTTTACCCCCCAAAATTTTATTTTACCCCATTTGGGGTAATTTACCCCGGTTCCCCGACCGCTGGCTTAAGGCATTCTTTACTAGTCAAACAAGTAGTAAGCACATAGGTGCATGGTTTGCTAAATTAGTGGATTTGTTGCTGCTGTTTGTTGTTCTAGTCCTAGGGTACCTCGCTGATACATAGGGCCCTCAAAAGTTGTCGCCACTTGACCCTTATAGTATAGTTCATGTCTGTTTATTAATTTAGCAGACACAAATTGTATATAAAATCTATATATTAATACGTGAAGCAAAAACTTTGTACCCCTTTTTACGAAAATTGCGCGGACGGAGGAGTATGAAATTTTCCACATAGGAAGAAAGAAAATCAATGAAATAAAAATTTATACACACTACCATGTATTTGACACACACACACACACACACACACGCACACGCACACGCACACGCACACACACACACACATAAACTCTATGTTTATTGTCAAACTTTTGTTATTGCTTAAAGTCTGGTCAAATTAAGAATAGGTTAATATTGTTTATCTTTAATATTATATTATATCTATAGTGTAGTTTTGGCGAAATATCTGATTATAGAAGTGTTCAAACTTATAATTTCAATTAACTATAGTTGAATTTCGACTACTGCGGGTCCTCTAGTATAAATAGATCTACAGAATAAGACACACGTCTTCACGTCACGCCACACGACAAGCCTTCTAATGTGAATTGTGTGCATTCCAGATGGAGATAATGGGACAGAGCGTGTTCGAATTCAGTCACCCCTGCGACCACGACGAGATCCGAGAGGCTCTACGTACAAACGGCGGTGCCCGTCGCGACCTCCTGCTACGTCTCAAGTGCACACTCACCAGCAAGGGAAGGAATGTGCACCTCAAATCGGCTTCGTATAAAGTAAGCAAAGCCAACAAATACATATGTATATACATATACATGCTTACTGGTGGTAGGACGTCATGTGACTCCGCACGGGTAGGTACCACCGCCCTGCCTATTTCTACCGTGAAGCAGTAATTCGTTTCGGTTTGAAGGGTGGGGCAGCCGTTGTAACTATACTTGAGACCTTAGAACTTATATCTCAAGGTGGGTGGCGCATTTACGTTGTAGATGTCTATGGGCTCCAGTAACCACTTAACACCAGGTGGGCTGTAAGCTCGTCCACCCTATCAGTCCACCAATCTAAGCCATCTATCATCCAAGGATAAAACAGCTTTTTTATTCCTACCTAAGCTGATGGTCTATCAGTGTAACCTTAACTAGTAGGTGAGCTCACGGGGCTTAATCCTGACGATGTTGCTAACACGAACCCTAGCAAGAGCCGTGCTTCGCAGAATCTCACGCATTTATACTCTTTTGTTTATTGTTAAAATCTGTGGTCAAATTGAGAATAGATTAACATTGTTTGCTTTCAATATTATTTGTCTTCGGCCTTGGCGAAATTTGTGATTATAGAGCATTGATTAGAAATGTGACAATAGAACCATAATATGTTCAAACTTATAATTTCAATTAATTATGGTCGAATTTCGACCACTGGGTGACCACTAGTCTTATTAAAAACATAGCAAATTCTCTCAGCACTTCAGGCTAAATAGCATAAATGAATTACTGAATTACAAATATACTTCAATTGTCGACTTCCATCATTAATTGACGGAATGTCATAGTCGTATAATGATTTAGTTCTTGAAATGACCTCAATTAGCCAATCAATTAATGTTTTCGTTTGTGACGATTTTGTTTTAAGCAGAAAGTATAGTTTTTTTTTGTCAAATCCGAGATGATTTTACATAACGTATTTACCGGCTGCTTTTGCTTTTTGGTAATGGCGTCTTTGGTGAATAAGCAGCACCATTCTCTGAGCACCAGCGCAATGTTACCGCCAACCTGAATTTACTGGTGGTAAAGAGATTCGTAGGAAAACCGTGATAACCGACATAGTCCAAAGGATTGCGATGTTGAAGTGGCAGTGGGAGGGCATATTGCTCGTAGTACGGATGGCTATTGGAGCCGGAAAGTTCTTGAGTGGCGACCGCGTATCGGAAGACGCAACGTGTGTCCCACACGAAGTACCGACAACCTATTGAGTTTCGGGGGTTTCTCGCCGGATCTTCTCAGCGGGTCGTGATTCTGATCCGGTAGTAGATTCATCCGCGAAGCAGTTGCTCTCGAGTTGTTAGGTCTCCTTCGGAGGTGCTCGAGCATCCCACCCCTCTTGGCTGAGCCCCTGCTTGCCCACCTGTCCTGGTGAAACTGGAAAGGCCTCCGGGCACCAGTAAACCTTAAATCATAAAAAATGATTGCGGGGATCGATATTTGTGGCGATGCTTAGGGAAGGCCTATGTCTAGCAGTGGTCGACTGTGGACTGATAAAATAGAGTAGGGTGTATTATGAGCCTGCATGCGCAGGTACCAACATCCTGCTTATGTTTGCCACTAGGCAGTGATGGGCCTCGCTATGAAGAGTAGGACACCAGTTGTTCAATACTTCATACATTGACTGCAACTTCATGTCTCGAATCCTCGACGCAGCGGAATTCACTATTTATATTTTTTTTGTTTTTGATTTTTATTACACAATCCTATTTTTTCACCGTAAAAGTCAATCGTGAACATTTGTTAAGTACGTATTTCATGGAAAAATTTTGTACCTACTTTCGGTATTCGAACGCCGACACAGTCGCATCGCTTGTGCACAGGGCCCCATGTCCCTTAGGCCGCGAGGATTAAATTAAACCGGTACTTGACTAAATTAGTTGCATCGCTCATTCCCGATCCTGCGGACAGAATGGAAAGTAGTCAACGTCGCCCAAAACACGTCAACTCGGATCCTCCCGATCCACTAACGATGCTTTTAGGCACCTCGAGCACCGGTCATCGTTCTCGTCGAACCCGTCGCTTCCGACGAAGGGCTCGACCAGTAATTTAACCCACAGACACAGGCCACTGAGTTTCTCGGCGGATCTTCTCAGTGGGTCGCGTTTCCGATCCGGTGGTAGATTCTGCGAAGCACGACTCTTGCTAGGGTTCGTGTTAGCAACGTCGTCAGGTTTGAGCCCCGTGAGCTCACCTACTAGTTAAGGTCACGCTGAAATAGCCTCCTAAGGCTATAAGCTTAGGTAGGGAACAAAAATAGCATCGCGCGTTTTATGTGTTTTTCTCAGATGTAAATTACATGAATAAAACACGTGGTGTTGTTATAAGAGTAATACATATTATTATTCCAAGGCGATTGTCATTTTGCTTTTATAGGCGGCAATTTCCACATTCAGGGCTTGGTTAGTTCATCGACCCATATACGTTATTAAAATAAAAATTGGCACCATCTGTACATAAATTAAGTACGTTCATAATGGTTACACAATTGTGAAAGCCACAGTGCTAACTAAGAAATCCTTGCAAGTTTTTCCTCGTTGGAACTCGGCGGCATTGCTAATAAGTACATGTTATGTAAAATTGATTTTTTATTATATTTAAAACAAAAATAATTAGAAAAAAATACTCATATTTTTAATTTAAGTTTTTAGATCTGTTTTAGAGATGTATCAATATGTAAAACAATAGTATATATGCTTATTGTTTTTCTCTCATTTTTAATACTTCGCAATATTAATAATCCATACTAATCTTTTACGTATATAATGTGAAAGTGTGTTTTTGACATTGGCTACCTTTTATCGCGAATATCATTCCCACCGGACACTATACTGACGCTTCTTGACCACGCAGGCGAAGCCGCAGGTCTAATCTCAGCCATATAATAAGATATTTTAGTGCAAACCCTTAGACCTGGAAACGTGAGTGCTTCCCGGTAGATTGATTAGGTTAGGTTTTTGCGAATTCTAAATATGATTAAAATTAGTTTTATGATTTAATCATGGTCACGACGACTATGATGTTGCATGCCACGAAGACTGCAAAGTAGTCGAAACATCAGAAATGATTTAGTGACAGTAAAAAACCAGAGATTAAACTAAAACTCAGGCTTTTTTTGTTCACAAGAAGTAACACTTTTTTCTTTGCTGTTCCACTTGCTGCCAGTAGCTTCGAGGGTCTATTCTGGGCTTCACCCGGAGTGTTAAACATGCTCAAAGAACTCAGCCTGCTAACATCTGCCCAGCGAGAGCTAGCCTTTTTCGTGACCTTAATACTAACTAAAGCTCTACCTGCGCAGGTAATCCACATTACTGGCCACATGTTGGCGTCGACTGAAGACAACGAACGTAACAATAACGAAACCAAAGCCGACGAGGAGAAGAAAGGGAAGGCTGGTTCTCTTGTGGCAGTCGGTCGTCCCATCCCACATCCATCCAACATCGAGATACCGCTCGACAGCAAAACGTTCCTGTCCAAACACAGCTTGGACATGAAGTTCACTTATGTCGATGAGTCGTAAGTACAATTTTTTACAATTTACAATTAAAAATACAAAAAAAAAATTGAATATTATGCAATTTCGAAAAGGGCACATCTCTGAAAATGTAAAATGTACAGGAATGAAAAAAAAACTGATTATTTTCTAAAGCAGTGTAAAATTTAAAATATTAGCTTTTGAGATATATTTTAGTGTTAATTAGCCATTGAAAATTACTAGAATTATAATAAAATGGGTGTAGCTAAGCTTCAAAACTTCATGTATATGAAAAAACGTATTTGACAAAATATGCGACATGTGCCCTTTTCGTAATTGCATATTCAATTGATTAAAGAGATGTCCATATTAAATTTGTTCCGATGGTTAGCATAACTATCATAAAATTGTAAATGATGTAATAAAAAAAAAACGTTTTCCTGTACATTCCTATTAGAAATTATCGTTTGTCATAAAACAGTATGTACATCTTGTAAAATCTAAAAGCTAAAGTTTGTTCATTACATTAGGAGATGGCGCTGTCATCAATTATTTACTCGTATCGCTCGACCAAATTGAAAGGTACTATAATAACGGTAAAGTACGTAAATAGGTTGGTATCGAAATCGGTCGGTTTATATCAACAAAAATATCACCTTCAAATGTATGTTGTAGGTTAAACATGATGTGATTTCGCGGTTTTGTACACAGTTTGCTGATAATCGTATGAAAGTTCGATTTGTTGTGCTTATAGTGCAGTGTTATGTGCAGTGTTTCATACTAATAAGAGTGCGAGTGTTCGTTTCTTGAATGTGCTAAAATTTTTACGGAAATGGCGGGATTTTTAAACAGCATTCCAGTAAGTTATCCCGAAAACATACTTTACAGATTGTTGTTCTACTTAATATTTGATTTTCATGGACAGGATAGAATTCGAGGCGGTTTCATTGAATATGTTCTAGGTCATTCAAGGTTATTATGCTACCGGTAAGCAAAACCTATGGATGCTTGGGTCACATTGGGAGTGACCTTTGGAATGTCTACATGTTCTGTAGTAAATCAATTTATTTAACAAACATCTTAATTAATTTCTGGGAAAATAGTAAATTTAGACGTTCAAACAGTTAACTACAATTTTCAAGCCATCAATATATATAAGATTTTTCTAGATCATTGAGAAATATATATATAATATATTTATAAGTGATGATAAGCTCGCACCTTATTTATGGATTTAACTAGTCGAACAAGACTGAACTCAACACTACATTTGAATTTTTAATCACATCTGCATAGTCTAATTCATATAGGGAAAATAATCCTACATAGTTCGTGAGCAGGTGACCCTTTTTATTTGATATTTTTGTATTTATTATTTGATGTACATAAATTATGATTGATTTCATTTTAGTCTTAATTAGTTGCAATTTAAAACCGATGTAAACTTTGAAGGATACCCATTATAAAAACTAACCCAAAACAGAATAAAAATATAAATCTGAATTTATTCTCATGTTTTAATTAGTTCAGGTTTGAAAATGTACATTTTGCTTAATAATAAACCCATTATAAATATATATTGTGCTTTGCGTACATTAAGACAGAGACAGATTAAGGATATTTTGTTACAGTTTGTTGAACACACTTGGCTTCGGTTCAGAAGAGCTGGTCGGACGTTCGCTGTACGATTATCATCACGCAGCCGACAGCGCTTCCATGATACAACAGTTCAAATCACGTGAGTACCTGCAGTAAATGTGTTTTATATTAATAATTTATATGCATAATAATCAGAACAGTTCTGTATTTGAAGTTTATAAAACAGCGCCATCTGTGAGTCATTAGCATGCTTAACGAGTCAAAAGTGACATTAACGCCATCTATGAAAATCACTATTGTTTAAAAAAAGGTAGTTTTTAGTTAAGTCACTAGATGGCTGTGTTTTCAATTTCAAATATTTGGCTTAAATTGATGTTTTCCTCAAACTGACAAACAGTTCGATATTTTATTAACCTGTTTCCTCCTATCTGAGTGATTTAATTTTGTTAATAACAGAGTCATACGTTATTTATAAGGAAAATCATTAATTGAATTTTCTGCATCTATTGGCCGTAAGATAGATAGGTTTCTGCCGAGGTCACATTTGGCGAAAACATACGACATAAATAAAATACTTATATCCAAGTAATCACTAAATCCATCCATGAATGAAAACTATGCACCTTGATTTATTAACGAGGTCAGTAAACAATTGACCAATAACTAGACGACTTTTTATTTAATGTTTTTGTTTCTTGTTGACGACTGTTTTTTTATCTATGTTGCTTTTTTAGGCTCAGGCTAAAAGATTTACCAATGAACGAATTGAAGAATTAAAAAGTTATATTTAGTTTTTTTATTGTAATAACCAGCGACTTCTTGTATTTTTTATTAGTATTAAGTATTTATTTTATTTATAAGGAGCACTAACGTTATTACCGCCACGCATCTTGAGACACGTATGTAGTCGAACTCTAAATCATATCAATAGCAAAGAGTCCTCAAGAGTCCCTATAGTCGCATACTTCGATACTTAATACCGAAACAGTCTTTAAATATTTTCTTCGATTTTAGCAAGTCATAAACGTAATTAAACCTACATTTACGGCTTAATGTCATTATATTATTATTATTATACCCAACGTATCGAATACCTTACAGTTCAGACTGTGTGAAAAAAAAATTGAAATCTAAAATTATTATTTTTTGTAGAAAAATGGACTGTTCTGTGCTAATTTATAACAGTTTGGTACCCAATAAGCTAAATAAAAAAGGGACAGCGCACTGCCCAGTAAAATTATAACCGCAAAACCCTGAAATGATTAAATATTTCTGTATCTGGATATAAGAATTTGTGACGTAACAGTGTTGAATGACGACCCGCGAAAAGCCAAGTTTTTTTTTTATTGCTTAGATGGGTGAACGAGCTCACAGCCCACCTTGTGTTAAGTGGTTACTGGAGCCCATAGACATCCACAACCTAAATGTGCCACCCACCTTGAGATATCAGTTCTGAGGTCTCAGTATAGTTACAACGGCTGCCCCACCCATCAAACCGAAACGCATTACTACTTCACTGCAGAAATAGACGAGAGGGTGGTACCTACCCGCGCGGACTCAAGAGGTCCTACCACCAGTAATCAAGAGGTCCTACTACCAGTAAGCTATACCTTAGCTATATAGTTAAACCTACACCTAAATAATTTCGGTTACTATTAAACAAACGTAGTGCGATAACGACGTAATTAATTCAAGAACGACATTATAATAAATCTTTGGCGAGCCCTCTCCTGAGAATTCGTTAATAGCCTTCTCCGTATTCAGCGTTTCTTGCTGATTGCAGTCGAGAAACGTGCAAGATACGTTGGGAAATGTTTTTGGTAAACTGGTTTGGTTAATTCCCAAATTTTCGTACAATCCTTTTGTAGTTGTGGTTTTTTTTGACTCCAGTGACCCAGACTTTTAAATCACTTCGATTTCTATTTTTTATTGCGTAGAACCTATTGTTAAGTGGATACCGGAACACATATACATCACAACATTAATGCCGTTGCTCAAAGTGGGTAGATAGATACTTGTGGTGAATTGACTCAATGGCATAGTAGGGTAGCTTTCGTTAGGCAGCGGCTTGGCTCTGCCCCTGGCATTGCTGAAGTCAATGGGCGACGGTACCCTTACCATCAGGTGGGCCGTATGCTCGTCTGCCTACAAGGGCAATAAAAAGAAAGTAGTTATGAAAATTACAATTTTTGCGAGTATAATTTGTTATTACGCGATGTTTATTCCTATAGAAGTCATTCGTGAATATGTGTCAAGTATATGAATTTTATAAGGAAAATTACTATAGGCCTGCGGGTTTTTAGACCCGGTATGATCGCATCGCTCGCATAGCCCACTGAGTTTCTCGCCGAATCTTCTCAGTGGGTCGCGACTCCAATCTAGAACTAGTGTCTATCTAGTAGTTCTCTTGCTAGAACTAGTGCTAGCAAATACTAGTATCTACAGTCGGCATCGCTGCGCCATTTTGAAAAGGCGGCACGACATGAGAACCCTCTCATCGTAGCCGCTGGAAATTACATACCCGACCCAGTAGACCGAATGGTAAACCGTCGACGTCGCCCAAAGCACGTCATTACGGATCCTCCTGATCCATTAACGGTGCTTTTAGGCACCACAAGCACCGCTCACCGTCCTCGTCGAACCCGTCGCTTGCGACGAAGGGCTCGACGAGCGAACTAACCCATAGACACAGCCCACTGAGTTTCTCGCCGGATCTTCTCAGTGGGTCGCGTTTCCGATCTGGTGGTAGATTCTGCGAAGCACTGCTCTTGCTAGGGTCAGTGTTAGCAACACTCCGGTTGAGCCCCGCGAGCTCACCTACAAACGTTAGGGCGAAGCTGAAATAGCCTCTCAAGGCTATCAGCTAGGAAAAAAAAAAAAAAAAGCAAATACTCTCAGGTGGAGCCCGTGAGCTCACCCACCCGTCCGGGCGTAGCGGAAATAGCCTCTTAGGGTACTAGCGAAGAAGTAGAGGAAAAAAATTCGCTCGCATACGAGTATACCAGCCCTCTTTTCCTTTATTCAACGATGAATTCAAATTATGGCTCCGGATTAAATTCGCGGTGGGGCTAGGCATTGTCGTGTGAAAGATGTGGTATCCGGTGTCTAGGTTATTGTCTTATATGTGTTTGCGTATAACACTGAGAAGTCTAGTTTGATATCGTCTAACTTAATTTTTTTTTTGTATTATGATCCTACATAGTTTAAAACAAAGTCACTTTCTCTGTCCTTATATCTGTCTGTCCCTATGTATGCTTAAATCTTTAAAACTACGCAACGGGTTTGGATGCGGTTTTTTTTAATAGATAGTGATTGAAGAGGGAGGTTTATATGTATAATAACATCCATTAAATAGTGGAGAAATCAATAATAAATTACAGTTTCCGAAGCGAAGCGAGGGCGGGTCGCTAGTTAATATTATAATCTAGTTGTAATCTTACTATTTGTGGCAATGACTTGTTTTTCAAACGTAAAAGTTTAGTTTTGAATTTGGTCTTCGATTTGAGTTTTATAGGATGTTCCTTTTTTAATTTAGACATTTAACGAAAAAAAAAAATTGTCTGATGAAACGCTAACCTTATATACAAACAATGAAAAACAACGGTAGACTCGAGTTGTTTGTTCGTAACTGTTATTGGCCTTTGTGGCACGTCCAGACTCGTGTGCTGGAGCTTAAATCAAGGAGCGACCTGAATACATTAGGCTCTTGAAAAATGCAACAAATTGTCTCTTAAATTAAATTTGAAACGAACAATGTATGAAGCCATTGTACTGTTAATACAATACGTCTTTTTCCTTAGCATTACTCACTGTGTTCTAAGATATTGCATTTGTCACGTATAATGTGGTTCCACAGTTAGCTCTCGCCTATAAAGGAGGGTCTGAAAAAAGCCATTACCAGTAGGTTATGACTGCAATACCTAGCCTCGCTGTGGTATATGTTTAAGCATGACCAAGGTAGTAGGACCTCTTGTGAGTCCGCGCGGGTAGGTACCACCACCCCGCCTATTTCTGCCGTGAAGCAGTAATGTGTTTCGGTTTGAAGGGTGGGACAGCCGTTGTAGCTATACTGAGACCTTAGAACTTATATCTCAAGGTGGGTGGCGCATTTACGTTGTAGATGTATATGGGTTCCACCCATTTAAGCAAAAAAAAAAACCTATATTTCGGTAGCAATAGTATTTTTGCTCCACTAAGTCAGCTATGTACAGCTACCGTAACAACTTCTAATGTTTTCGAGATGTCGAACGATATCTATCAGTTAAGTTTACGATACGCTCTCAAGGATTTTATTAGCTCAGAGCGAGACAAGGCCTTAACTTCTTAAGACCCGTATCCCGAAATCGTTTTGAATCTTGTCTGCGATCGGATTACGTAACAACGAAATTGACCTCGTATTAGTACAGTGAGATCGTTTATATGAATTGCCTTTGAGTTATATATAAACATAAGTATATGTACAGACTTATATTGTCCCGTTTTATTACATTACACAAGTTCCTCAGACTGAAACGTATTAAATGCTTACATACTACTTACTACATACTTATGACGGCCGTCTGGTGTAGTGGTAAGCGACATGGTCACTACACAAGGTGGTCGCGGGTTCGAATCCCGCCAAGGGAAGTTATTTGTATGAATAATATAAAATGTCTTTTCCAGGGTTATGGATGTATATTAAATATTTATGTATGTGTATAATAAAAATTTGACATTTATTTCCGTTATCTGGTACCTGTAACACAGGTTCTTTACGAACTTACCACGGGACCAGTTAACGTGGCGTGATTGTCAGTAAATATTTATTATTTATTATATTATTATTATACTTATAATCTAGAGCAGGAATTCGGTATAGCGTGGCTCATCAAAACGATCATATATTTCGATTTTAGACGTAGAGATTTTTGTCTAATGTTATTAAAGAACTTTTTCATATAATGTTTAGTTTGGAAATGTTGGAAGTCAGGATTTATTGCTTTGGTTGGGCTGACTTTCTCACGGCGTACGAATAGAAATCGTAAATTCTCTCATCAGTCTTGATATTGTATAATATATTGTTTATCGGTTAGGTAGTTGGACGAACTCTTTTATCTATGGTTATTGGAGCCAATAAACATCAACAATGTAAATGTAGTCATCGTTGGGATATGAGTTCTATATCAGTTTTA